GCACGTTGTTTCACTTAGAGCAGCATCTCCGTAAACTTTTTGGAGCTCTCGATGCGCTTCAGCCGCCGTTTTCTTCGAATGAAAGAAGAAAATCAATACTTCCCGCATATGACGATTATTTGGCACAAAATCAGACATTTTCACACAACCAAAAGAATATAACGTCAAAACAAAATCACTAATGTGTCGAAGCGGTTTGTTTACCATATGTCTAAGCTTGGTTCATGACGTTTAGATTATGTCAGAATCGACCAGCACTGCTGGAACCATCTATTGACAAACAGCGGGAACTTAGTTGCGCACCTAATATTTAAAAACGTGTTTCTCTGATTTGACGATTTCTTCTGTTAATAATAAGATTTGTTTTCGTGAGAACTTTTATTCTTTATTTTTTAGAGGTTTTTAATCACATTGACTCAAACAATATAGTCATAATAAATTTGAATAGATCAACAGAGTTAAAGATACGGGATAGCTAGGAAATGAATATGTCCATCGAGTATATACAAGAAATTATTGTGTTTTTCTTTAATTTAAAAAGAAGGAATTAATGCATAATGTACATTATAAACCCCGAAATCTTCCATGGGTTTATTACCTGTAAATGGCTTTATAAACATATGTACATGATAAAGAGCAAAATATATAAAACAGTAAATTATATTTTACGTCGTTTTTGAAAGAATGATAAGCGTTGTAACGACGTGCTATGTATGTACGCTCAGAGAAATATTCAAAATTTTAATAAACATTTATTTGAATAGTGTCAACTAAACATTTCCTTACAATAAATAGTATTTATTTAATAAAAAGAAATGACAGTTAAATCAAATTAATGATTCTCGTACTAAATAAATATATCTTCATGTTTAATAAATATTAGTTGGCATTATTTAAACAAAAAATCAAATTAAAGATTCTCGTACTAAATAAATATATCTTCATATTTAATAAATGTTAGTTAGCATTATTCAAACAAACGATTTATTAAAATTTAGTATTTATCTTTTTTCAGTGTAACAATTTTTATAAAACATTGTCATCCAAAATATATTGAAAACATGAAATAGAATAAATTCACGTTGGTAGACATATGAAGCAGGCTCTGAACAAGAAGCATACAACTATTTCGGCAGAGACGATTAAAAAAAGTAGAAACCGGAAGAAATGGAAGTTCTTTCGTATAATAGGGCAAAAGCGGTTTTATGTTCACAGAAATATCCGCTCAATCCATGTCTTAGAATCGATAATATTGGAAACATATTGGCGACTATATTAACAGAGGAAAGAAACGATTGCGAATATTTGTTTAACCAATCGTTTTGACTTGGTCGCAGTATTGAATTTTCACGTTTTATAATTATGATTTAAATCTCTTTAATAATAGAACAACTTTCATTGCTTTCTTTTACAGTCTAAGAAATATTTGGAATATTGAGTCAAATTGTTACCATGCAAGATGCTTCGTGAAGTTTTCCTAGCTTAGCTCGAATGAATGGCCTGAAAAATAATAAAATAGATTAGATGCTTAATTTAAAATAAATACAAGCACGTTATTATTTTCTTCGAAAATAATAAAAAATTTTAATCAGCTGACCTTATAAGACGCCAAAGGAACATTTGAACCGGGATAGGCAAAGGATACTCCTGCGTTCCCCCGTCCACGGATCGCCGTTTATCCATGATTGCTTCAAATATCACTAAAATGTTTTAATATCGCGTATGAAGAGTAGCTCAATTAATCGAGCATGGCAATAATTAGAGTACAATTGTTGGTGCTGCCATCGCTACCACGTGTCTTACCCCGCAGAACAGATCCTTCCAACTTGAACCGCTTATACGCCTACGTTTTGCACACACCCTTTGTAGAGTCAACAACACTCCATCATCCAGAGTGGATCAATCCCCGATTGGGGAACGTCAGAGTCGTACTCACGCAAGAATCGAGAGTCAAAATAAAGACAATCTCGTCTTCTTATACAAAATTCACATGCTCTTCTCTCTCTTAATAAAATTCATTCCACGTCACTAAAAACGCCGATTATCGCGCAATATTATCATCGCATGTTGGACGCAGCCGCCGGAAAATGCCGACGCCGGGCATGACGTTGTCGAAGAGTAGCGCCGCACCGAAAAGAGAGAGTATCACGTGTCACTTGGCCTATTAACACACTTCCGTCAATCCCTGTGGATACCTTGCGCGACGCGGGTATGCACCCCGGCACCGGGATAGCGTGTAACTGAAGGGACGTGGTCTACGTGTCTACACGAAAAGGATAGTGAATGCGCGTGCGACTCTCGGAAAATCCAATGCGCCGGTCGTTTCATCGATCAGCCCAGGAATCTGCTGCTGGACCACCCCTACGGGAGGCAAACCACCCCTCGCAGCGCGCCGCGTTGTACCGCGCCGCGCCACGTTTCCATCAACCCATTTACCCACCTAGTCCATCTAGCCATTTACTCGAGCAGCACCTGATATAACGATGGGCGAGGCCATCTTCCTATGGAGCAATGACTAGCGAAGAACGCGCAATTTCTCGTAATTTATCTTCCATTTGAGGGCGTGTACCGTTAGATTATGATAGATCGATCAGGGATATACCAATTGATAATTTATTTTTCACGCTAAGGCAATACAACTTTTGCATAAAGGTTGTATTAAAGTTAAGATGTAAAGTATACTTAATACGATAATAAGGAAATAAAGAAGATAATTATTATAAAAAATAATAGATATTTAAACGAGATCGACATAAAACCAATATATTCTCGGGTATCATATATTAAGACAAAATAACAAGTCTGCTTCATACAGAAAGAATGATTTTGTTGTATTTGAAAATATTGTTGAAGAGTTAAAAAATTTAAATAAATACAGATCTGAAAATTTTATTGGATCAAAATAATTATGTAAAACATAAAGAGAAATGCTGCAAAAAGTTTTAACAAGTAATTTGAGCGTTCTACATAATTACTTTGATAATCCAATAAAATTATTTTCAAATCTATATCTAGCTAAATTTTTTAATATTTCAGCAGAACCATTCTTTT